AGCTAAATAATAAGAGTTAGCAGTCAATTTGCAGGGACTTGCAAATTGGTCAGGTTTGCGTTTGATTTTGTAAGTTTATTCAAAATCATAGTGAAAACTCTCAAGCGGGATTTGCTTGGGGACTGGATGTACACCGGTTTGGTGGAAACAGTATAAAAATTTGCAGGGACTTGCAAATTGGTCAGGTTTGCGTTTGATTTTGTAAGTTTATTCAAAATCATAGTGAAAACTCTCAAGCGGGATTTGCTTGGGGACTGGATGTACACCGGTTTGGTGGAAACAGTATAATATTAAATTTGCTCTCCATTTGAAAAATTATAGCTCCAAAAGTATCATTCATACGATATTTGACAAAAAAATTATAATATTTAAAATTTGTAAAGCAACTAAAATAATAGTTAGATAATAACAGCCAGATAAAAATATTGTAGCATCATAAAAAACTTATAACATCTTATTTAAATTACGTATAATTAGGGGTGTCCAAAAAGCCCGCCGGCCCGGCCTCGGCCCGGAAACCCGGGCCAAGTCCGGGCTCCGGGCCGGGGCCGGGCCCGGGCCGCCTTTTTGGTGCCCGGCCCGGGCCCGGCCCGGCCCGGAATAGTATTTTTTTTATTTTTTTTATTTTTTTATTTTTTATATGTATTATATATGTATATATAATATATTTTTATATATGTATAATATATGTATATATAATATATTTTTATATATGTATAATATGTGTGTGTATATATACTCTCTCTTATATATGTATAATGTATGTATGTATGTATATATATACTCTTTCTTATACTATACATGTATATATAAGTATACTCTCTCTTATATAAGTATATATATGTATAAGTATATATAAGTATACTTTCTCTTATATAAGTATATATAAGAATACTCTCTCTTATATATGTATAATGTATGTATGTATGTATATATATACTCTTTCTTTTAGTATATATGTATATATAAGTATACTCTCTCTTATATATGTATAATATGTGTGTGTGTGTGTGTGTGTGTGTGTATACTCTCTCTCTCTTAGTATATATGTATATATAAGTATACTCTCTCTTATATAAGTATATATAGGTATTCACTATCTTAGATATGTATAATATGTATACTCCCTCTTATAAATGTATACTCTCTCTTATATATGTATACTCCCTCTTATATAAGTATACTCTCTCTTATATATGTATAATATGTGTGTGTATACTCTCTCTCTTAGTATATAAGTATAGTATATTACAACGGGTACTTCTTCCCCATTGGCCCAACGGGCAATGGCTACTTATGCGATTTTCTCTCTCAAGTTATAACTCATAAATATATACAATATATTTACATATAATATATGTATATATAATATATAATTACATATAATTTGTAAGTATATACTAATACATAATTATATAAAATATAATAAAATTAAACTAAATTTTAGCATTTTTTATCAAAAAAAAAGAAAAGGAAAAAAATTGAAAAAAATCCGGGTCGACCCAGAGCACGGCCCGGGGTACCCGGGTCCGGGCTCCGGTTTTGCCCGGCCCGGGCCCGGATTTCCGGGCCGGGCTTGGCCGGGCCGGCCCGGATGGACAGGCCTACATGTGATACAGAAGAGTTTGTTAATATGTTCATTATGATTGAAAAGCTAAGATTAGACATCTTGATTTTCAAAATTAACCACAAATCCATAATCTAAGAATCGAAACTAACGTAAGAGTATGACTAATATGTATTCAGATATTTCGAATACAGATACAGATATTTCACTCCAAAACCATATCTATAATCATATTCTATCGGTTATAGATTTGAGTAACCATATTCGTATCCTAATGGATACGGTCACGGATATTTTCTCGGATACAGATACGATTTAGTACCCTTATATGTGAGCCAAGCAATTATTAGACGGACTATCTATTACGCACTTAACATGGTACATGTTTCATGTGGGTTTATGTGGTTGATATTTATATGTGTTAATGTAATTTAAATTTTAAAAAAATTTGTGGAATCCTCTAATGAGCATTCATCCTCTTGCAAAACGGGAGTGTGGTTTTCAATCAAATATCGTCTTTGTTTGATTACCAGAAACATCTTGTTCGACATTACTCAACTTTCACCACTATCTTTGTGTGGACTTGCATGAGTCCCGCAAGCTAAATATGAACACAGTTTACTGTTTACATCCAATCAAGCTCTCGTCCGTTTTTATTATCCTAGGTCCTTTGAACTTGTAGCATACTTGTCAGCACTTTATATTATTCAAGTAGATAATTCTTGGTCAATTTGGCTTTTCTTTATTTACGTCAACAAAAAATAACAATAATAAAACTTATTTGGAAGCTTCTGTCCGCGAGTTCAGCGAAGGGATGGGTAGCTAGCTCGAGCAGCTGGCTGTGTCTCCGGCTCATTTTTCAGTCGAATGTTTAACGGTGTTTTTAAATAAAACTATTGTTGAAAATAAAATAGATAGAAACCGATAAGCAAAACAAATAAAAAAAGCCCATTAGACATATCCTAGAAAAGGCCCATTTGGAATAGCAAAGAAAATAAAATACCCATTTCACTACATATAAACTAGAAAATGAAAAGAAACCGATAAGTGATTAAAAGAAAGCATGAAGCCAGCAAGAAAAGCCCAATAACCGCTGGGAAGGAGGAGTATAATAGGTAAATGAGGCCAAAAACCATATTTTCAATATCAGCCCAAAACGTAACGTGCTGTTAAGTACATTTTGACCGCCACTTTGATTGTGAACACACGTATAGCGTTATTTTAACGCATAAATTTAGACCTACATTGCTTTGGATGAAGACCACTTACCTCGTGACTGCTATAAAAAAAAAGATCATGAATATGATTTACTTAAGTTTCTAATGCAAAGGAGTGCAATGATCTGGACTAAAGAATTTAAAAGAAACAGTGAAATTAAACAAATTAAATGGCTCATTAGCCAGGCCCTCAAAAGAATTAAGATAAATATGTCCGCTTCTAATTTTGCCAAGAGAGCAGGACCCTAATCCTAACCCTAGACACCAACCCTGACCCTAACCCTAACCTTGACTCTAACCATAAACCCCCTGACCTCAACCCTTATCCTGGCCCTAACCCTAACCCTGACCCTAACCCTAACTAGCCCTAAGCCTAACCCTAACCCTAACAAAAAACAAAAACAAAAAAAAACCCTAAACCCAAGCCTTAACCCTAACCCTATCGTAGGCCAAATTTTACCATGTTATGAGATTTATTGAAAGGCCACATCGTAAATTTTAGCATCCGAGAAATTATTTTCTGAAAGGTCAAAATGACTAAAAATAGTAAAAAATCAGGGCTACAGAATATGAGTTATTATCCATTATTTTTTGTCATTTTAATTCATTTTGACTCAATGGAAAATAATTTCACGGAGTACAAAATTACAATGTCCCCAATCACAATCTCATAAGCTATATAACCCACGATTTTGTATCATCTTTCTATAATTCCGAACCACTAGAAAATAATTACGCTTATTTCACAGATGCCACGATTCCTTTCTCACACTCTTCTTTTCTCTTCGTCTAGTTATAAATTAATAAAATACTGCTTAATTTAATTGGCAGTATATTAATAATATTTGGAAATACAGGGCGAGAGAGGATCAATGTGGAAGATTCGTGGCCTAATATTGGAAAATATCTATGGATTGGGGGTGGGTCACAAATCTGCGCGCACAACCTTGGATGATACCTCTCTTTGGTTGGTCATATGTCACCCTCGTGATGTAAAGGTATGATGGATGTGTTCCTACTTGGTTGACCGGATATGTTGTCGGTCGTGTATGCCACTCTCATCTTTTTATTTACAGACTTTGCATAATCCAAGTGCTGCGTAATAGTATCTCATCATGGTCCGGTTAATTTCTCGGTTGGGCAGCACAATTGCGGGCTTGGTTCAGCCTTCCGAGCTGCAGCCTGCAGGAAGGATTATTTTCCATTCTCTATGAACCGAATGTGAAGGTCATGCTTATATATTATTTGAGTTCAGCGGGGATTTCAGAAAGCCCCTTTGAGACGTGGCTTTGAGTTGTGTAATCGAGGAAGGTTTGTTGGTCTCCGTGATGAATAGTCATTATATTACTGAGTTCTACTTTAAACCCCTAAGCTTTCTCTATTGCTCTAATAAACCCCTTTAAACTTTGGGGTGTCTCACAAAATCCACCAAAGTTTTGGCCCACGTTAAATTTGGATCAAAAAAGAAGTGCCCTTTTATTTCACACCAACTAGACCTCTTTATCGTGTGGGCTAACAACTAACCTCTTTATGGTGTGTGTTACATTTTTTTCCCTTTTTGGGCTAAATTGCACAAAAATACCATAAAGTTTCATGTTTTGTTAACTAAATACCACAAATATCATTTTGGCATAATAAAATACCATTAAGTTTCTAAACTATGCACGTTGCTATCATCAATCATGCAAATGTGAAAATTGTTACCCGAATGTTTATCTATGATATTTACAGGTTAATTTTAGAGCTTTTAACCATTAGTATTTGTTAAATTTTCTATTAAATTAATAAAAAAATTCAAACTTATCTGAGTTCTACTTTAAAATAGAGTTAATATATTTTAATAAAAAAATTAACAAATAATAATGGTTAGAAATTTCAAAAATTAGTATATAAGTATCATAGAAAAACACTCGAGTGAAAATTTTCACGTTAGCATGATAAAAAATAGTAATGTGCAGATTTTAGAAACTTTATGCTAATTTTTTACAATTTAGCCTTTATTTATTTTTTTTTTCTAATTCACTAGACGCGCGCGCATACTGCAAATATTAAGCTGAACCATCACGATGTGGTTGACCTCCCTCCTCACTGTCAAAGTTATCATCCGAACAAGACAAAGCCCATCGTTAATCCTAAAAGCATCTTATAGGCATTGAAATTATCCACGATGGAGGCAAAGGAAAGAAAAGCCCATCGTTAATCCTAAAAGCATCTTATAGGCATTGAAATTATCCACGATGGAGGCAAAGGAAAGAAGACAAAGAACAGGAGGCTACATGTGTAAAGATAGTTCATGATGGTCGCAATGTGAGATAGGAACTAGGATTGGGATAGGATGCCAAGTGGCAGCACTGGAAATCGAAAAGAAAGAGAAAAGCAAGAAAAACATCCAATTATATCCCACTGCTGACCAGTTCGTGGGAAGGCAGGCAGGCGACTTGAACAAGGCGGCAGCAAATTAGTCAATCGCCCATGAGGAGGCGGCTGAAACGACCATGTTATCATTATTCATCAATAGGTGTGTCAAGAAACCATCATCATCAGATCAAAAGAGTAATACTACCGGTACCGGAGGTGGTAAGAAAAAGATGAAGGAGGAAGAGGGGGTACAAATTAGAGATAGAGATGGGGGGGAGGAGGGGGAGGAGCAGCAGCGGAAATCAAGGTCTCCTTCTCCATCTAACTGTTGCCCCTCCTCCCCTAATTGCCTTGGCCGAACCAACACAACTATGAGTGCCGATCATCGTCGTCGCCGTCGCCGTCATAGTCGTCAGGCTAGCATTAATTCTCGGGATTCTAAGCTCAGCGGGGATAAACTCACCACCGTGACGACGACGAGAACATCTAGATCCAACTTTGCGAAATCCACGACTTCAACTCTGTTCCTTGGCACTGAATTCACCAACCATGAATCCCTCCCTTCCCTGGCCGACGCCCTGTCTAGCTTCACCCAAACATATCCCCACTTCAAGGACACCCAGCGAGTGGATCGCATCAGACTCCGCCATTACCCCCACCTCTCCCACCACGTATGCCTTGACTACGCCGGTTTCGGCCTCTTCTCCCATTCACAGCTACAATCTCATCATTCCCCTCATTTCTTTGACGTCTCTTGCAAAGCAGCCGCCAGCTTGACATCCCAAGTCAATTACGGTAACCCAGCTGCTGAGACGGGGTTGGAGTCAGCAATCAGGAACAGGATCCTGACTTTCCTCAACCTATCACCGGAGGATTACAGCTTGGTGTTCACCGCCAACAGGACCAGTGCCTTGAAGCTACTGGCGGATCCATTCAGCCAGCTTGAAGAAGGCTCTGGGATACAGCAGCAGCAGCAGCAGCAAGAAAGAGGAGATCAAGAAGAGGTCGAGGGGCCTTTTTGTGTTCCCACTGCAGTCGAGGATGACAGGAGCAAGGTATCCGTATCTGTGGATGAGGATGGCGCAGGAGAGTGGGTGGCATGTGCTTCTTGACGCTTGTGCGTTGGGCCCAAAGGACCTCGATACCCTTGGCCTCTCTCTAATCCAACCGGACTTCCTCGTCTGCTCCTTCTTCAAAGTTGTAGGCGAGGTCCCCTCTGGGTTCGCCGCCCTCCTCGTCAAGAAATCCAGTGCCAGCTCCCATCTCTTGGGGACTACATCTGCGGTGTCAAGGGGCATTGGGGCCATCAGGATCATCCCAGCAGCGACGTTATTGCGGTCTCAGCTCACTGATGATTTCTCAGGCACCTTCTCAGAAAACGATACTGCAGCAAATTTGTTCCCTGCTCCACCATTGTCGGGTCAGATCTGTAATAGCACCAGGGACGCATCCAAAAAGCATTACAGTGTGATGGGAGCGAAAACCAGTGAGACATGCCAGACACTACTGTCTGCCTTATCTGATGACGATGATCAGAATGAAGTTGTGGAAATAGTGGAAGCTGGGAAGATGCGGAGCGCCAAAGCAGATGCTGGGATATTCGAATGCATGGGTTTGGATCACGCGGACTCTCTAGGTCTATTGCTTATTAGTAGCAGACTCAGATATATCACCAATTGGCTAGTGATGGCACTTACCAAACTGCGTCATCCTAATTCTTCCTCAGAGGCTAATGGTCATCCCTTGGTTAGGACCTATGGGCCGAGAATAAAGTTTGAAAGAGGGCCTGCAATATCATTCAATGTGTTCGATTGGAAAGGAGAAAAGGTGGAACCTGCTCTTGTGCAGAAGCTAGCGGACAGAAGCAACATCTCACTGGGTTGTGGGTTTCTACACAACATTTGGTTCTCAGACAAGTATGAGCAAGAGAGAGACGGAGTTTTGGAAACAAGGAGGAGGAGCGTTTGTCATCAGACCAACAAAAAGATCAAAGATCATGAGGGAAATATTGATCTTGGAATAGCTGTGGTGAATGCTTCACTTGGTTTCCTGGCTAATTTTGAAGATGCTTACAAGCTCTGGTCCTTCATTGCTAGATTCCTGGATGCCGATTTCGTTGAGAAGGAGAGATGGAGATACATGGCCCTTAACCAGAAGATGATTGAGGTCTAGATTTTAGTGTTACCAAAATTAAGTGTCAAGTTATAATTATTCATTCTAGTTATACAAGAGCTGCTAAGCGTCTGTTTTCATGCAGAAGAACATCTACATACAGCATGGTTTTATTAATTTGAGGTAATAGATATTTTATTCTTTACCACTCAAGTTTAATTAGTGAAGGGTTCAACATCCTCTAGCCATTGTCATTCAAATCCCATTACTTTACATTGCAGAGTAAAAAGTCGGTGCGTCTTACCTACCATCATCACTATTGCTTTCTACCGCGATTCCTCCAAGCTGTGTCTACTTTTCAATCATATTGAGTATATTTTTACATATATGGGTAAATTGATGTTGGTGTGTCCTTCCAAGATTGGCGTAACACCGAGTCCTCAATCATCCAGTCTCCTACAATCATCATCGATATATAAACTCAAATCATATCGACGGACTGAATTTGAGGCGTATCAATATCGTTTTGAGCTAGAAGCTAGAGTTTTCCTATATTGGCATGTGTATATGTACGTGTGCGGGTGGAAAGTATGGGCAGATAGGCGCACGGGTTCAAGATAAATAGTGTGGAACCATAATAGAATTGAAGATGTAGAGTTGTATGTTTGGACCTACTTACAACTCAGTAAAAGAGGAAAACATTCAGCATAGTAACACTTACAGTTGTCAAATTTACTCGTTCTGTGTCGAATTTACTCGTTCTGTGTATGCCGGTAGCTTGGTGAGGTAGTTCGATCCTGTATGACAAGTGCAAGCAACGAAAGTGTAAGCAACATTTCTGTCTCATCAAAATATTACACTAATACGGCAATACCTTAACTTCAAGTTTTATGGTGTGTTTGGGAGTTTACTAAGGGAAGAGAAGGAAAGGTAAACAACGGGAAGGGAAGGGAAGATAATTGTAATATGTTGTTTGGGAGTTGAGTAAGGTGAATGAAGGTAAAAGGAAGTAAATATATGTAAATTTACATAAATAACTTTATACTAATAACACATCAAACCTCTTATTTGTTTTGATGGGGGTAAGAATGTCATTACACCCCTTTACCCTTGTTTACTCTCCTCTACCGCCCAAATCGGGGGGAAAAGAAAACCAAACAATTTTACCTTCCGTTCCCCTTCCTTCCTCCTCTCTACCCTCCTTAAAAAAACTCCCAAACAAGGTGAAAGCTGCATTTCTCTTCCCCTCCCCCTCTCTACCCTCCATCCAAACAGGACATTAATTAATCATTATGCGTACTTCCTCAGGCGAGCTGGACTTCGAGCGTTTCTTTCCTGCAGGTACATCAATTATATCGTCATTTTTATGTTAACGATGATGGACTAATCAGCCGAAATGATTTCCAGTGGTGTCTAAGAAAAAACCCACTGCTCTGAGATTTTTTCTGCATATGCTAGCTGACATTGGGTCCGAGCTCGCCTGTACCCGGATTTTTCTGTTTCTAATCCACACTGCAGCAACAGTCACTATTTTTGCGCCAAAGGTATTTATAAAAACCTATTTTAAGAACAATTCAGTTTTGTTTGTGTAAATTATCATTCAACTTAGGGGCTGTGTATTAGTCGGTCCCCTATAAGATATGCTCAAGCTTAATGTAAAATGAAAATGAAAATGACAATGAGCTGTATTGCGTTCATTGGTTGTAAAAGTGATTCATTTATTTACAAAAAAACTATACACTGTTTCATACAATTTGGGCCCAGACACAAAAGGACCATCTAATGCTATAAGAGTTTGTTTTGTTACATTAAGGTGCATTTCTCTTTCTTTGCTTCATTCTTTTGGGAGGGATGTGAGCTCCTTGATACCTGCAGTAGAAGGCAAGGAGGCCAAGAGAAAATTACTACAAAAGATTTCTCCGTTCCACAAAAAAAAAGTATGCATGGACATACTGTTCGGACATACTGTTCTTGCAAAAAAATAATAAACTGGAATATTGATTTTGACTAACAATAAATGAAAATGTGAAACATAACAAAAGAAAAACAAGACAAATTTAGAAAATAGTCCATTTGTGAAGATATAAATCTCTTGAAGCCATCAATTCAAAGATGATAAATCAGTGACATGAATGCTGTTCATACTGTGGGCTTCCATTGGTTGGGGTCCTACATGAGGCCATAGATATGAAAGCTGTTCATTGTTCTTTTATAAAGGAATGTACCGATCCAAGAGGAAATTCCAGATAACAGTTTGACCGGGTGTCTTGTGGCAAAAACTTGCAAAGATATTTTAGCATTAATCTCCTAAAAATCCAAAAAAATTAGCCAAATCATGAAAAGGAATAGAAATTGGGCAGATAAAAACAATTTGCTTCATTCAGAAATCAGAATGCTTCTATTCTAATCTTAAGAAATAAATCAAGAACAGACAAATTTGTACAAAACAGGTACAACAAGTCATTCTGAAACGTACTGTCTGCTACTATTAATATGAAGAAATTCTTGAGAAATTTAACAATTTTTAGTAATTTGTGATAATACAAGATCAACCAAGAACAGAGAAGATGATTCATAAATCTAAAAGATCAAATTGGGACAAGTTTACTGTAATGAGGGTTGTGACCAGAAGATGTACTAATAGATAATAGTCTAGGAAAGCAATATGATACTTACTTGAGGACCTGTGACAAGCCTAGAACGACCACTAACTGCTGTTTGCTGTGAACTTTGTTGCTGTGGACGTTGGTTTTGTTGTTGGGACTGTCGTCCAAACTCCTGTTGTTGAAGTGCTATTGCAAGTTGGAGATCAGAACTGCAGCCAGGATACGAGGAGCTATGTCACAAAATTATAGCAACATGGGAAAATAACAGTGATACCCCAAGATTTAGTCCCACATCAGATATTTTTGAGTGATTGAATGGTTTAAATGATGGGTCTTGAGAGCCAAGTGTAACATTAACTAGTCAATTTTGGCGGTGAATTGAGCCAAACCATGTATTGCACTCCGTGAGTCCCAGACTTACATTGCGCCAACGGGCTCGCAGGCCCGAGGCGTGACAAACATAATTTGAAATAATCAAAGCAACTATTGTTACGAATGATGATACGGATCTCAATGCAACAAAAAATAGATAAATGATGGACAGCTCCTGTGCAAGAGGAACAAGAGATAAAAGCACTTTCTTTGAAAGAATGCTGCAATACTATATTCTGCAAAGCACAGAAGGATAACTATGCTACTGCATGTTTTACAATACCTAATTTCACAGAGAACCATTACTTTCATGCATATATTGATAATTGTTCCAACTTTAAAATCTTATAATACAAGACATATACAGGACTAATGTGTCAAATTAGGCACAGAAATCATGGATACTAAAGAACTGAACTCGATAAATCCAGAAAATAAATAGAAAATAAACAATGCCACAATGAAGACACGTGATTATAAGTTGTAATAGCTTTCTAGCATCCAAAGTATCAATTATGAATGAGTTACGTATGCATAAAACTGGACAGTACTTTTCAAAACAGACCTCATTTAGGCACTCTAGTAAATCCACAGTAAGCCAAAGCTCAAATGAAGCTGCTTCTCTTTCTCCAAATAAATAGTTTAGCTAGTTAGACATCTCTTCTATGTTTGTTAGTAATCATCATAAAATCAAATGAATCACCTTACTAAGAAGAAACAAAAATCAACACACTCCCAGATCAAGACCAAATAAACACTCTTCTCCAACCTTTTCCTCGGAGCCAGTTCCTCACACCCTTCGCCAACCTTTGAGTGTTCACACTTCAACTCTTAATAGATATTAAATCTAAATACAGGAAAACGCTTCTGAATATGACATATTAAGTCAATGGTTCTTAATACCGAACTTCCAATGAAATATCACAGACTAAGAAATGAAATGAAATAATGATCCACTACCAAAACCTCATTCTTGTGTAATAATGTTCTTTCTGATTCCAGTCTGACAGGAAATAAGTAGAGAAACATCTGCTGTATCTTCAAATCAGAGACCTAAACATGATCTTTTATAAGGAATAAAAGACTAAAGCGGGTAAGTTAATCAAATTATTACTCTCATGTGTGGCCTTTTTTCCCCACCTTCACCATCTGCAATGGGCCACCCCAAATATGGATCTTCCTGAATCCCTGATATTTGGCTGGTGTGGCGCAAGGGGCATTGCATGTGCCTTAGGGGTAAGGTGAGATGCCCTGTCAGACTTGGGTACCCTCGTAGCAAAAAAACACAGAGAGAGAGCAAATACTTTTTCCCAAAACACATAAAAAGTACTCAGAATTTTAAAAGCCTGGTAAGTCAAAGTCTCAAGGACAATATTTGACATACTTCGCTTCCAGACTTGGATACCCTCGTCGCATAAATAAATAAATAAATAATTTCTCAAACCAACAAAAAGTGCTAGGAATTTCAAGATGAAAAAATTATACAATAACTTAGGGCTGTAATTTCAAAATGAAAAATTTTTATATAAAAACTTAGGACTGTAATTTCAAAATGAAATAATTATATTAGAACTTAGGACAATAACTTAGGGCTGTAATTTCAAAATGAAAATTTTTTATATAAAAACTTAGGACTGTAATTTCAAAATGAAATAATTATATTAGAACTTAGGACTGTAATACCACTGGAAAACTGAATTCACAGTCAGCTTATCACCAGAGACAAACCATTTGAATTTAAATTGTGAGATGATCATCAGTAGTCACACATTAGGGATTCCTCGTCACAACAGAAAGGAGGATCATTGAAGGTTTTATATGTTATGTTCCAGGAACATCAGGATTAAGATGGAGTTTGGAGCACGTGCGTTCCAACATTGTACTCTATTTGGATACAAGGAAGATGGAGACTTTTGAGAATAAGCTGTTCCGCATCTAACGATCTAACCAAGAACTAATATGGGCATAAGACATGTTCATTGCCGCATTAGGTAGAGTGAGAAATGAATAAATGATTGAACAAGTTGGGAAAATTGCTTCAGAGCCC